AACAGGAGGGCAGCGCGGTACAAGAACAGGATTCAGGAAGAATGGTCAGGTAACAAGCCGGATTCGGTGACAGGTTTGCAGATAGGTAGCAGGGCTCAGGTAGCAGGGCTCAGGTAGCAGGGCTCAGGTAGCAGGGCTCAGGTAGCAGGGCTCAGGACAGGGGAGTCAGTCAGGTGCAGGCAACACAATACTGAGCCAGCTTCCTGACTGCAGGGAGGGCTTAAATACCCTTCCAGGAAGTACCAGGTGATGGAATGATCACTCAAAGCTGGGGCACACCCGCAGGTGAGTACTGGAGCTGCAGGTCCCTGACAGTTCCTGGCTGCTGGAGACACCCGCAGGCGAGCACAGGAACTGCAGGACCTGGCTTCAGCGCCACCTGGGGGTGCTCTGGATCTTGACAATAACACACAATGACTCCATGGACTAAGGACACAGAAGGGAATTTATCAAAACTGGAGCAGACAAAATCTAGAGCAGCTGTGCATGGCAACCAATCAGCTTCTCTCTTTCATTTTAAAATCTTAACTCAACAAACTGAAGAGAGAAGCTGATTGGTTGCCATGCACAGCTGCTCCAGATTTTGTCTGCTCTCGATCTATCCGCGCAGAGAGTCATGACTGTCACCCACGGCTCCCTGCAGGGATTCCCCCCCTCCCCTGTCCGATCCTCCAGCGCTTGGGGTGATGGGAGGACGCTTGTTTGTGTCCTCCCGTTACCCTTAGGAGAACTATGGGGAAAAGCCCTAACCCCATAGTTCTCCTTTAATGTAAGAATGAAGCCGTTACATGAAGATAGCAGAGAGGTAGCAGAGTGACTCACCTCTCTACTATTTAACAGCTCGATAGCCCAATGCTTATGAAGCTGTATGATACATTTCAGGCAAAGAGATACAGTGGAGGGAATTTATCAAGACTGGAGCAGACAAAATCTGGGGCAGATTTGCACTGCAGCCAATCAGCTTCTCTCTCTCATTTTCAAATCTTACCTAGGCAAATTGAAGAGAGACGATGATTGGTTGCCATGGGCAACTGCTCCAGATTCTGTTTGCTCCCGTTTTTATAAATTCCCCCAAATGTATCTATGTGCCTAAAATGTATCACTTCTGATCGTCTGGGCACGATCAAAGACCTTTAGTGAGATCTGAATCTGACATGCTGTCAGGATCAGTCTCTAAGGTTATTATTAGCTGTTCCTAAGTTTGGAGAAGCCTAATAATAACCAAAGTTTTTTTTTTTTTAAGTTAATTTATCAAGCAGTCATAGTGACTGCTTGATATAAACTGACAAAAAAAAAAGTGTAAAACAAAATAAGGAAAATAAAAATGATATATAAATACATTTTCTATACTCTAATTATTATAGAAATTTTCTAAAAAAAATAATCAAAACTTGTGAAAAAAGTGCTTTCTTCTAGTTTTTTTTTCCTCATTTATATTTTATTCAAACTAAGTGAGGCGTTAGGTACACATTTTTGATATAATTATATAGCCCTATCTGTCCTCTAAAAAACAATATATAATATGTGTGGGTACATTTAGTAAGAAAGCTAATACTGACGTGGAAGAATCACACAGCAAAAATGTAAAAAGTGTGTCAGTCATTTATGAACAGAAACGGAAAACCAGCTCATTCATGAAGGGGTTAAAAGTCGACACGCTGTATGGAGTGCGGGTGATCCACAATGTCAACACTTGAATTCCTGTCGGGTTTGCTGTTGCTGTCTGCTGCTGAAATGCCCTCTTCGGCCCCATTCACACCATGTCTAGACCAGAACAGTTTGTTCCCAGACCAAAAAAAGCATCACAATGTATCCCTATAGTATTTCTGGGCTCTGTTCACACTAGTTCTGGACCAGACAAAAAAAATGTCTCATTTTCTCTGGTCTGGAACACATGGAAACCCATCAAAAATGCATGCAATAAAACAGCACCGGAATTCAGTAAAAATACACTGCAGATCTGCGTCGGGTCTGTTCCCCATCCACACCTGTGCAATCTGTCACACAATAGGAATCGTTATTTGCTATGGGGCCCATTCACACCTAGGTGTGGCGCTGGCAAACTGCAAGTGCTTCTTTTGGTGCTACATAATGAGGGTAATTTATCAAAGGTTACCCATGGCAACCAATCAGCTTCTATCTTTCATTTTCAAAGCTTAACTGAACAAACAGAAGAAAGAAGCCTATTGGTTGTCATGGGCAACTGCTCCAGTGTTTTTGGCCCCTTAGACTTAATAGGGAGCACATGAAAAACGCATGAAAAACTCCTCCTAGCAACATCTTCTCTAGCCAGGCAGCATAGGGAAATGGACTGAGCAGGCCACACCATACTTAATGTGGAAGAACTAATCTGGCCGGTGAGGAAAGAAACATTGCTGTACAATTCCTGCGACTGCGGACGCTGAGCCTCCATGATTGCAGGTGGACCAGGAACAGGCTGGAGAGGACACTGTTAGATGATGCTGGATGTCCTCCAGCCAGGAAATGAAGCGGGATGTATCTGACTTTCTGCAGCTCCTTCCCGTTTTTGAGGAGCGCGACTACCTATGATAAGAGTAATGGCCCAATGTGCTGAACTTGGAAAAATGTATAACAGTGTGCAATACAGACAACCAAAACTGATTAGTCATATAAAAGGGGACAAATTGATGACTTACAGTTGGGATGTGAGCCTATATGCCCTGGTGTCTCTCACAGAATGTTCTCCACAGTCTGTTTAATGCGATGTCCACAGCTGGCAGGTGGGAAGAGAGTAGGTGCCTGTGGCTTGGTAAGGTAACTTTCTGTGGCTTGACAAAGAGGAAATCTCCTCGAAACGCGTAGCCGTATCCTGCAGGCAGCAAGATCCATCCCCCCGTACAGATCCCTCACCATCCCACGCACTGGTCCATCTTTGTGCACTCCGCTGACAGCCACATCTAGTACTGTAACCACACGCATAGAGTCCGGGGCTATGGAGCGGATCGCGGCTCACTGCTTTCCCGTCTCAGCCGCCGCGGCTCAGCCTGGCCAGCTGAGCTTGTGACATCGGCTGACACCTCGTTTTCCCACTCCGGTCCGGGCAGACACCTACTCTCTTCCCACCTGCCAGCTGTGGACATCCCATTAAACAGACTGTGGAGAACATTCCGTGAGAGACACCAGGGCATATAGGCTCACATCCCAACTGTAAGTCATCAATTTGTCCCCTTTTATATGACTAATCAGTTTTGGTTGTCTGTATTGCACACTGTTATACATTTTTCCAAGTTCAGCACATTGGGCCATTACTCTTATCATAGGTAGTCGCGCTCCTCAAAAACGTGTTTTTTGTTGGTCTTGAATTGTGTTACACAGGGTTCCTCCCCCTGTATTGAGGAGTTTTTTGCACACCTTCCCCCAGCAGATCCATTTCTCACCTGTGTTTGTCCTACAGGAGTGCGCTCTAACCACTGTATGTTTCTATTTTCTGCAGCTCCTGTTGCACATTGTGAGAAGCTCGCAGTGTGCAGTGAAATCAGAGTAAGCAATTCCAGGAGAGGAGCCGGCACAACTGTGCAAGACCGAAGGGAAGGCCGGAGTTCAGCTTTAACTCTTCCCCAGTCTATTCAGAATAAGATTTTTAGATGGAATTTGGTGTTAACATTTTTCCCCCTGGCTCCCCGAGCCCCCCTTCCAATGTCAGAGGGGACAGCAGCCAAACCCCCCAAGACTTATTCCTGGGTAAACAGTAGCGGTTGGCTTGAATCCCTTCCCCCACCCAGATTATCGCCTGTTCCTTTGAGCATGCCGAGTGACAACCATGTCCTCCACTACCTACTGATGAGAGGAGCGCTGCCCAGTCTGGGTGATCTCCGCTGGACAAGGAAGATGATGGTATTATGGGCCTTGTAAGGACATTCTGCTAGAAATACCATTCCTCCTCTTATCTGCAACCCGGGAGATAAGGGACCCCCTCTACATTCCCCAATGTTTATATATAGCATGTTACTGTCCCTGTACCATACAGGGTGACCTCCCATACACTGCAGGTACATACCTTAGATCTACACACCTGTATACCATACACTGCAGGTACATACCTTAGATCTACACACCTGTGTACCATACTGGGTGACCTCCTATATACTGTGCACTGCAGGTATATACCTTGTATCTACACACCTGTGCACAATGAAGGGATCCAAATTGGGTGTGTGACCTATGGAAATGACAGAGCTACATCCTACAATATTTGGTGGCACACCTATTGAGAAATATTTGCATCATGGGGGGTGTCTAAGTTATGGCACGTGTATACGGCATAGTACAGGGGTGCTCCCAGATGAGGAACCAAATAAAGACCGTGGAACGTAGCTGCCCCTAGTAGCACCTACACTGACCTACCCGACCCCTACACTGACCTACCCGACCCCTGCACTAACATACCCGACCCCTACACTGACCTACCCGACCCCTACACTAACATACCCGACCCCTACACTGACATACCTGACCCCTACACTGACCTACCCGACCCCTACACTGACCTACCTGACCCCTACACTGACCTACCCGACCCCTACACTGACCTACCCGACCCCTGCACTAACATACCCAACCCCTACACTGACCTACCCGACCCCTACACTGACAGTGGAGAACACACAGACAAGTCAGTGTAGGTACAGTGGAGGACACACAGAGATGTCAGTGCAGGCACAGTGGAAGACACAAAGAGATGTCAGTGCAGGTACAGTGGAGGACACACAGACATGTCAGTACAGGTCCAGTGGAGGACACACAGAAATGTCAGTACAGGTCAAGTGGAGGACATACTGACATGTCAGTGCAGGTCCAGTGAAAGACACGCAAACATATCAGTGCAGGTCCAGTGAAGGACACGCAAACATATCAGTGCAAGTCCAGTGAAGGACACGCAAACATATCAGTGCAGGTACAGTGGAGGACACACAGAGATGTCAGTGCAGGTACAGTGGAGCACACAGACTCAGATTGCTCAGCAGGTAATCCGGCGGCACTAGGACCGCCCGGCTCCCCGCTCCTCCAGCTGTCTCCCTCTGTCTGTCCGTCTGTCTGTCCCCGGCAGACATTAATAGCTGCACACAGATTTCTCCGCAGACACCGGCACAGCGGTCTTCTCTCTCAAGCACTATGGGACCCTCAGAAGGCATCGAGCGATTCGTCAGCCCGGGGAAAGGCCGAGGCATGCAGGCCTTGCGGCACTTTGGTCTGGGGGAGCTGTTGTTCACCTGCCCGGCCTACACCTCAGTACTGACTTCCAACGAGCGAGGCAACCACTGTGAGCACTGCTTCAACAGGTACCCTGCACCACCGCCTGAGAGAGAGCAGAGCGCCGGCCTGTCCTCAGTGCGCCGCTATTCTGTACTATACGGCCGGCACGTGGGGGCTGCAGAACTGTGAGCGCATCCTGCGGAATTCTCACCGAGAGATACTTTGTATCCGCAGCAGGGGGGAGGGGACGATCACCGGCTACAGGACCGGGGCTGTGCCATGCCTGGGGCCCTCTACTCCACTGTCGGGCACCCCTGTTTGGCTGCCATAGCTGGGGGGGCACCACCCCATGCTTGTCTGTCATAACTGTTGGCCACCCCCCACCTCTTTGCTGCCATAGCTGGGGGCACAATCCCCCCCTATGCATGTTATAACTGAGGGCCACCTTTTTGCTGTCACAGCTGGAGGGCCACCATTCCACCCAATGCTTGTTTGTCATAACTGGGGGGCTACCCTCCACCCCTTTTGCTGCCATAACTGGGGGGACCACCATCGAAACCCATGCTTGTCTGTCATGACTGGGGGCCACCTCTTTGCTGCGATAGCTGGGGGGGGGCCACCATCCCACCCAATGCTTGTCTGTCATATCTGAGGGCCACCTCTTTGCTGCCATAGCTGGGGGGGCCACCATTCCACCCAATGCTTGTCTGTCATAACTGTGGGCTACCTCCCACCCCTTTGCTGCCATAACTGGGGGCCACCATCCCACCCCATGCTTGTGTGTCATAACTGGGGGCCACCTCTTTGCTGCCATAGCTGGGGGGGGGGGGCACCATCCTGCCCCATGTTTGTGTTTCATAATTGAGGGGCACCCACACCCCTTTCTTGCCATAGCTGACGCAACTCCCACCCCTCGGCTCACGTGGCTGGTTTGTTAGGAACCCCCTCCCTGCTTGGCTGTCATACCGGAGTTCCACCGTCTCCTCCCCTTGCCTGCCATACCTGGGGGACACCCACCCCACTTTGCTGCCATAGACCTGAGACCCAGGCAACCCACACACCCGTAAATGTCCGGTTGGGAAGATTCTAGTGGTACTTCTACAAAATGACAGAAAGCTTGGGTCACTGGAGGGGCTAATGGTGAGGATGATCCTTGCCGTGAATATATGTCATCACATGTAGAACTTGTACATGTGTACCCATAGGGAGTCATGTTCATTACATCCATGTTGTAGCACCGTGTGTGCAATCATTGAAGCCCCCGAGTGACCTTTCTGTACAATCAGCTATGAGAGCAATCAATGTGGGAGAAACGCGTGTAATATCACAGCATCACTGTATCTAATACCTATTATATGTATGTGCATCTGACCTGCACTGTGCCCATGCTGTGCTGCATTGTGGGCCCCTCCGCTTCTGGTACTCGATTCCCATGTGCTCCCCCGCTAACATGGGAGAAGGAGCCTTAGTCCTCTGATGAAGGCTTGATGCTAAATTTACACAGAGGCTTGGAGGAGATCTGGCAGGCACATTAAGTGATATTAGAGATATTAGAGAAAGTAAAGGAGAAGTACCAGCAGTGAAAGCACTGACATCATACTTGTTACTTCACTGTGATTGGGCAAAGGACAGGAATGCTATCCATACACACACACACATATATATATATATTTTCTCATCTGACCATTATTAGGGCTGAAGCCAACTGATCGATTATGAGAATAGTTGTCAACTATTCTCGTAATCGATTAGTTGGTTGGATCCCCTACCTCTCTCCTCCACGCTGGGAGGAGGGCACAGCAAGTAGTGTGCGGGTGCCATAGCCAGCCTGTGTTTGGCTATTACAATTTGAAGTGGCCAATAGCAGGCTGGCTATGACCCCCGCCCACTACACGCTGTACTTGCATTCCGCTGCCCTCTGTGGAATCTTGCCACTGGCAGCTGTCATTCCCGGGCTTGTGCTTACAAGTTATTATAAAAGGTGGGAAAAATGACCTAGTGGAGGACATGGGCAGCAATAAAAACCTGGCAGATGTCCAGATCCTTCCCTACTCCGTTCAAAGCTTAAAGAAGAACTCCAGTTTTTTTTCTTTGCAGTAATACTACCCTGCAAGGGTTAAATGATTATTTTGGTCTAGGGACGAAAATAAAGAAGATATACTCGCCTGATTCTCGGTCCTGCGGCAGTGATCACTCGTCTCTCTTTCCCCCCCACCCCCAAACTCTGGCTGTGGGTTGTCCCTCGGTGCCCTTGCGTCCAATGGCTGCATTAGATGTGATGACATCACGGGTCCTCAGACCACCAGTGCCTGGGAGAGAAGAGCCAGTGGAGACCAGTCTCGCAGCCAGACGTAAACCGAGAGTTTATTTTCGACCCCAGACCAAAGCAAGCGCTTAAGGAGAGGCTTAAGCGCTTGCTTTGGTCTAGAGTCGAAAATAAAGTGCAGGGGGAGCCCCACTGCAAGGGGTTAATTTGAAAACATTCTGGAGTTCTCTTTTTTTAATATCATTTTGGGTATTCAAGCACTTTAAATGGATGCATTTGGAGAATGCCGCATGGGCACTTCAGTCAGTGTATATCTTACATTGGACAGTCAGAATCTCCGCTGCACGTGCAATGGCTTTACGCCAGGGTACATTGGGGCCCCTAATAGTTTCTACACTTCTAATTGGAAGATTAGCAGTCTATGTAACGTAGCATTGCTGTGACACTGCGAGTACAGTACAATCGCACTGCTAATGTTAAGCTGGGTGAAGGTCCGACGACCTGACCACAGGGTACGCTAACACTTGAGCTTCATGTTTCCCTAGTGAGCTCATCTTGACTTTTCCGAGACCAAACATTACTTGCGAGGCCTGGGATACGGATCGAGTTGCCTAGCACAGCCCAGCTACTTGCTGAAGCCTCGGCAGACGTATCAGGTTTGCCCCGGGCGCTCTGTAACTTCTGCTGGCATTCTGACAGTTCAGGCCGGGCATTTCTCAGCCAATGCTTCAGCTGTCATCATGGAGGAACTCATGTGACTGATGTCGGCTACGGTGCTTGGTTGTTATTAGAGCTTGGGCACCCGGGGCTGACGAGACCTCTTGTACCAAATTGTGTAAATGAAGAGACAAGCTGAGTGATTACTTTTTGCAGATTCCAGGACGTGAAGGGACAGATCAGATTGGTTGCCAAAATAAGGGCTGCACAAAGCGCCAATAGGAGGAGCTTTCCCTAACATGGATTGCAGTACGCTGTGAGATACCCATTGCACACCAGTGCAGCATTGGTTTAAACTGGGCCTACTAGAAACAATGGATTTCAGCTTGTTATTGCATTGGACCTGTGTTGAGCAACGCAGCCCAACGCACATGGCATTGTAATAATTTTTCCCATCGCGTTCTGTCCCAGTGACCCCGGGACAAATAGAGGAGATGAATCTCCTTAAAGGTGACGTAGGTGGCTATAAAAACCTAAAACGAGAATAACTGTTACTGATCTACCCCTCAATGTAAACGATATCTTGTGGTTCAGTTTCAGGCCAACGAAGATGCAACGTGTATAAAACAACATAGTGATACCCTGACACAAAGTTTGATTTGACTAAGGCAGCCACGGAGCGAAACGCGTTGGCTCGATTGCTGGAAGTTGTTACATGGTTTCCAAGTAAAGCTTTGTACCCGAGGATATTGCAGTGTACTGGGTCTCTATGCTGTGCAGTAAAAACTGAAAGAGTTACTAACCCTTCACCACCCTATCCAAAACCAAAAAACAGTTTTGGCTATACATTGGATTGGGGGATATAGCTGGGGGGGTGGGTTTTAGTAATGGTTAAAGAGACGGTGTCGCCAGGCCATTTACAAAATCTTGTCTAGAAGATTATATGTGCATTTTAATGTATTTTATGAATAGTTTTTTTTCCCCTGTAAAAGCCTCCCTTGTGTAGACATCCAAAACCCTAAAACTGCTGCTGGGTGCTGCCATCTTGGATGTGATTGTCACCAGCCCCAGCAGACTCAGAGCTGTCACTCAAATGACACACTGCTACTTGAAAGGTTTATGTGGGGAGGTGAGGGGAGCGACTGAGAAGCTGGGTCTCCAAAGCTGGCCATACACTTTACAACCATCGCACGACTTTAATCTTGCGATGGCTGTAAGCAAATTAAAAGCTCGTACGATCCCCCCATCTTGGATCCCCCCATCCCCTCCGCTGAGGGGAGGGGTTCCGATGACTGTAATGCTGAGCGGGCAGTGTGTGCTTGGGCACACCGGCCCGTGCAGCATTTGTCTTACGATTTTCGTCTGGTTTTCCAACGTGCTCGGAAGACAAAAGACGTGCGACCGTACAGTAGAAACACCTGCCGATTATCGTACGATCGCGGGATTTCCCATGTTTATCGTACGATAATCGGCAGGTGTATGGCCACCTTTTAGATTGAGGGTTAATGCAGCCTAATTATTGCACTGTGGTAAGGATTAGACCAGACTCTTCCAACTGGGGTGCCATTGCACCCCAGTTGGGGTGCCTTCTGCCTTCCTCAGGGGTGCCTTAAACATTTTGCACAGCATCATGCCTTATGTAAAGTGGGTCCCTGATGTCAATGGGTGTTCTAATGTGTACGGAGGACTCTGAAGTCAAGGGGAACCCCTTGTTTTGTTTTGTGGTATCTTCCTTTTTAAAATTCATGCCAGACACGTATCTGGGAAACATGGTCTAGTATGGATTTTGGAGATTTTGCATACTTTTAAAGGGTGCCATGACTGAAAAAATGTTGAGAACCCCCTGGATTAATCAGTAGCTCAGCATCAGAAATGCCGTTATACTACCACCTAGCCTGCAGCACCCACACCCCATAGCAACAAAGCCCTTAGATACATTCTTCTCAGCCCATCCTCCTCTAGCGCGCTTTTCCGATATGGGGGAGGCTGTGCTGTGCTGACACACAGAGATGAACGTACAGGAAATAAAAGACCTCTCCTCTCTGTATCTCCATTCCACATTAGCAGCAGGGAGGTTGAGGGGTGCAGAGACGCTGCCTGGCCCCTAAGGCTGGATTCGCACCACTTGTGCATTGATGTGCATTTTATGTTTTTATTTAATTA